TAAATTCCTAAACCCTAAACCCTACCTCTATATTCCTAAACCATAAACCCTAAATTCATAAACCCTAAACCCTACCCCTAAATTCCTAAACCCTAAACCCTAAATTCATAGACCCTAAACCCTAAACCCTAAATTCCTAAACCCTAAACCCTACCCCTATATTCCTAAACCATAAACCCTAAATTCATAAACCCTAAACACTACCCCTATATTCCTAAACCATAAACCCTAAACTCATAAACCCTAAACCCTACCCCTAAATTCATAAACCCTAAACCCTACCCCTAAATTCCTAAACCCTAAACCCTAAATTCCTAAACCCCAAACCCTACCCCTAAATTCCTAAACCCTAAACCCTATCCCTATATTCCTAAACCATAAACCCTACCCCTAAATTCCTAAGCCCTAAACCCTAAATTCCTAAAGCCTCTCCTGAGAGACTCAGGCGATGGAGCAGCGCTGCAGATCAAGATCAAGTGGGGAGGGGAGTTGTGCTTCGGCTTTCAGTGAAGGGTGCTTGGTTTTGGGGTTTAGGGCTTTAGGGTCTTAGGGTTTAGGGTCTTAGGGTTTAGGGTTGAGGGTTTAGGGTTTAGGGTTTAGGTAGGTTGGATACGGCCCTCCATTCAGTAACAGTTTGAAAAATACTTACTAGGTTCCCCAGTGGTACCCTTTTGCCCTTTTTGCTTCGGGGTTTCCTTATTGAAACCGAATATTAGGAAAAAAGGGTACCCTTAGTACTAAGGGATTACTGGGAAACCTAGCTTATATTAAGGCGCTTAATAATGGCCTTGTTGTAGGCTGTTACTGTATGGGGGCAGTACTCAAGGTGTAGGGTTTGTAGTTTCCAGGACTCCCCCCAATAAAGGGCCCTTTAAGGGGAGCGCTTGTGGTCCTTATTTGTGGGTATCCAGGGTATATTAGAGGGTAGTTGGGGGGTTTAAGTTCAGGCCTAGGATGTAGCAGGTTCCAGGCCCTGAAAGCTGTCGGGATGTAGGACATGTATATTGGGTTCTAGCATGGCGTCCCAAGGCGCCGAATGTCCTTGGAGCCACTACTCATGTTACCCTAAACCCTAAACCCAAAACCTTTCACCTTGTGACTGCGTACGCGTCGAGTCAAGCCAAGAGTCGTTGCCAAGCCGTCGTTTCGGTTTGGTATTCCCTTTGTGTTTACGTGTGTGATGATGGTAACATTACAACAGGACCCTCATGCATGCATAATTATCCTATCTAGAGCCTATGCCACCTTACATAAACCTGACCGTCTTGTTTTTCTAGTGCTTTACCAAGTTATAAGAATTCTGTACAATGCCAAGGGTCCGGTTCGGCTAGGGAAAGTTTAGCATTTGGCTTGGGGGAGGCCAGACAGTCCGACAGAGTTTGTTTCGGGTACCTGAGGCTTTAGGTCGGAGAAGTTCCAGTATATGGACTTAGGAGTCACATTAGCCAGGAGGGCCACGGAATCGCAATTTTGCTCAGAAGCTGAGCTCTTAGGTTTTGCTTGAACCGTATGTTATTTGAAGCGGCTCAAGTGATCACTTACACGCCTTTCGTGACTGATAGGCTCAACCCTGTGCAGCATGGTCTGGGGCGCGCTGGTGGGCGTGGTGCTCAAGGGCGTGGTGAAGACGATCGCGAAGAACAGCACCCGTGGCGCAGGTCCCAGTGGTAAGGCCTTGATCCACACCCTCAATCACAGCTCCAAGAAGGCCGCCCGTGAAGCTGCCCAGCATTCCGGAAAGGGGAAGCCGATCCACCATTCGCACGGACCCAGCGGTGGAGGGCACTACCACTCCACGAACTCTAGTGGGAAGAAGATTGAATCCGGAAGTCAAGGCGGGGTGCACCACAAGTACAAGTCCAAGAAGTGAGGAACCGGCAGAGTTTTGCTAGGCCACTGTAGAAGGATGCCCGGCCCATTGCGCCTGAATGCAGGTGTGTGGGCATGCGTGGGCTCTCTCCCAAACCTGACACTCAGAACCCTAACCCTCAAACCTTTCCAATTGCAGGAACCTCTCAGCCCTTAAACCTTACTGGCCCTACAAGTCTATATAAGTCCTAAATACCAAGTCTTACACCGTAAGCCCCTCAGATTTTGAGAATGGGAGCAGAACAAACCCGGGAGCCCCACGTTCTCCGTGCTTTCCGAGGAAGTCCGCATATTTTGCCATGCAGGTTGCAAAAATGTGCTGCTGCCTAGGTCTAGGTATTGGTGGAAAGTACAAAATGAGAACACACCTGCTGGACAGTTGGACGCCAACTGTTCGAGAAGACGACATATTGTCAGTATCGCGGGGACAGTCGATGCCAGCTCGTGTTTAAACATCTCGTCATCCGCATGCATCAGTGCAGTTAGTTCTTCGTCACTTTGCACATGAGCTTCTTCAGTATCTTCAAGTACGCATGCCCAAAACTCAATAGTTACACTGTATTACACCTCCAAACCTCAACAATGTCCCAACCCACATTACCTGACCTGAACCCTCGCACTTTTGGGTCATGTAGGCTTCCCTGCAAAACCTTTCATGCCGTAAGCAAGACGATGTGATGATGCACACTGAGGACTTTGAAGGGGCGTTCCGGCTCGCAGGCACGGCTTTGTTTCAGGGCCACTTTGCCACTCAGGGCTTTCCGCTTCTTCAGTTTTTTGGGGACTTGACTCGTTTGTAGTGCTTCCTGGTTTATTTGCATGAGTTGGAGAGTACTCCACCTTAGACAAGGTTTAGCGCCCCTTGGCAGCAACTTTGTCCGGACCGGTTCATGCCTGCCAGGAAAGCGGCAAACGCTTCAGAGAGCGAACGTTCGCCGGCGAGGAGAGCTCCTTGCAAGTCCGTGTCTGTTTGATCTGCCCGAAAGCCATAAACCGCACCAGAAACTTTCTAGAGCCACATTTCCCGCAACCTATAAGCCCCAAACCCGAAACTGTGCTCCCTTCGAGCTACTCCCACCTGTGCTTTTCGAGTCCAGAAGAAGGCGTAGGACAGCGGCGACTTCTGGGTTTCAGTTTAAGCAAACCGCCACGGTTCGGGGTTCAGGGTTTTAGGGTTTAGGGTTTAGGGTTTAGGGTTTGGAGTTGCCGCAAAAGGTTTTAATGTAGATGTATGTATACATTGAGCTACCATGGCCTACTTTTTCGTTAAGCTCTCGTTAAGAACCTTCATATATAATCTACAGGAGCCCTACAAAATGTGGGTTTTGGTAGTTTCCAGGTACCAGTAATATTTAGGAAGATCTTTTTATCGACCTACCTGCTTGATTACCTATCTATCTGTCTATGTTTCTATCTATATATAGATTATAGGTCTGAGTATAAGAGGGGATTGATCCGAGGTTTGGTGACCAAGACATTTTGGCATGTGGGTGTGTAGTGTGCGTACTTCGGGTTTTCGTTCTGGGTGGTGGGGGCGGGGTTAGCAAGTCGGGACCTCCGGGGTGTGCACAGAGATCACCGATGATGTCTGCCAGGACATCGCGCAGCTCCACACTTCACTTCAGCATGACATCAAGCCCCCTGACATGCCTGCCGGGAGGGGGGGGTTGTTTGTGCCGATTTCGGCGTAGATGTGCTGTTTCCTGTTTTTTTATAGCAATTTTGACAACGAAGGGTATCTAGCTGAGCTGATAAGCGAGACAGAGACAAAAGTGCATCACAGCCGGCCGTGGAGAAGCCGAGCTCATTCAACTGTTTCACATAGGAGATGCTTGACTCAAAAGGCTTCAAGTGCAGTTGTGTAAATGAAGATCTGCCATTACAGGACTTGTTTTGTCAAATCCAAGACATCGTCAGCCTGCACGGCTTGAAAGTTGGGGCCCAGCGTTTAGGATTCAGGCTGTAGGCTGTTGGATGGTCGCAACTTCAAGTTGTAGCAGCAGCGGTGGTGAACATCGACCAGTTTCGGGCCCCGGACTCAATAAAAAAAACTGTTTTCCAACATTCTCCAGCAGCGGCTGTGTATAGGTCCGGTATGGTTTAATGGATCCCGGATCCCTCTTCCAACTACGAGGGCTTCTATGTTGGATAGACCCTAAACCTTAAACCGTTTTGAGTTGGAGGGTTATTGATAAACACTAGCAGCCCCGAAGCTTGCAAAAAATCGTAGGATCACTTCTGCGTCTCCTTACAGAGAATCACGGGCAAGGGTGTAGGGTTTAGGGTTTTAGGGTGTAGCGGCTTGGGGTTTAAGTTTCAGGGTTTTGGGGAATCCCGCCCAGGATCTTCTCCTCACGGGAGCAGCGATGCTTGCAGACTGCGGCCGCTTTTGCCAAAGGCGGCTCGACAAGAATTGATCCGACAAAGACGGGTAAAGACCTATACTGTCTTATCGGGCTTTTAGATTCTAAATCCAATTGTTAAGGCCCTTTATGGTAAACAAAGAGCCTTGAAACCTAGGGACCTAGGGTTCGGCCGCCCCAGCTCCCATCGTTGCCCTCATCTTATAGGAACCCTTATAAGAACCTCTAGTGTAGGAGCCCTTGAAGGAAGCCAGGTATAGAACTCTTCGACGAGCCTTATTTCAGCACCTTACTCTTCAAGGGTACCCTTTAAAGCAACCCTATTTCAGCGCCCTACCGTTGAAAGGGTACCCCTAAACCCTAAACCCTAAACCTTGAACCTTAAACCTTAAACCTTAAACCTTTGCGGGAACCCGGCTTGTCTCAGAGGTCTCCTGAGCCTCAATGGCGCTCTGCCCTCCATCGTTACGGAGCTCGTGCCTGGGCCTAGGGTTTAGGGTTTAGGGTTTGAGAATGCAGGCTTTGGGGCCTGGGGTGTTGGGTTTAGGGTTTAGGGTTTAGGGTTTAGGGTATATGCTTTTAATCCCTAAATCCTGAGCCCCTCAACCCTACACCCCATGCAGGATAGGCTTTAATCTTCAGATTTTTTTGCCGGTTTTTGGTTGCATAGCACGTATACTCTTAAGAGGGGTCCAGGTTCCGTATTGCATCTTCTGAAGTTTGGGTTTCGGGTTTAGGGGTTCCGACCCAAGGGGTCCTAGGTAGTGTTATGGGGGATACTGTCCCAAATCATAATAAGGATTCCTAATATAGAAACCCTACATTCTACCATACAGGTACTTTGGACCCTTTGGGTGAAGAAGGACGGAAGCTTGGTCACTCTCCAAGAATCAGCCCAGGTGAACACCCTGGAAGATTCCGAATGGGGTGGCCCTAGCATCCTGTCGCACTTACTTGGAGGATCATGGGACTTAGTAAGTATGGTTATAAGTACCTTCATTGAGGTTATAAGTAGTGATAAGTATATTTACCCTTATAGTAACCTCAGTTACTAAGTCCCTTGATCCTTTAAGTAGGCTTTAGGTGTGGGGGTTCAGGGCTTCTGGGGATTGGACTTCAGGAGCGCGGGTTTCGGACTTGAGGTTTCGGATGGGGGGTTGAGGGTTTACTATAGGGGCCTAGACAATTACCTATACTATTTTGGGGGTTCCCTATTGCAATTGCCGTATAATGGACCCCGAAAACCCTATTCTAATTATTGAGGCCCCTACATTAGGGTGGTTGTTTTCGGGCTTCACCAGCCTAATGCTTGCCCTCGGCACCAGGTCTCAGGAGACGTTTGTCATTTGTGGTCCTTTGCTTATGGTGCGGTTGTTGTAGAGACGCAAAGACTCGAACTTCGCTGCAGTCCTAGATCCCTTTCAAGGAACCCTTGTTAGAACCGAATGCCCTAAATCCTTAAGCCCTAAACCCTAAAGCCCAATTGTCTTGTAGAATTTCGGGGTGACCTCGGTGCCGTTGGGGTTTTGACCTGACATGAAAGAAAAGGTGAAGGAGAAGAACGGTCCAGACAAGATTGCCCAGGTGGTATCAAGGAAGGCCGGATGAGCGAGTGGCAGAACAAGCCGTGGGAAGAAGTTGAACAGTTGTTCGGGTTTCGCGCAGATGACTCCCTGCTCCTCAGTCGCAATTAGGGACAAGACCTTTCGTTTAGGGCCGAGGGTGACTGACATGTGTTCATGCATGTTGGATGCATCAGGCATTTTTGCATGAAGCTTGCCGTTTCATTCGGTGAAAGGTGGCCATCAAAGACAGGCAAGAGGTGCTGGTTGGAAAAGTAGGTTTCAGTTGGACATCGTAGTTTTTTGTGGTGAGCTCCGGTCTTTCATACTGGATGGCGAAAAGCTGGAAGTTGCTGGTCATCCTAAAGACTAAACACCACACCCTGTGGGGCGGTTTCTGCCGATGATGCTCCCAAGCCTCGGACTGGTATGGAAGCATGAATAACTAGCGGTATTTTTCCTAATCCTCTAACATGCGCATGCTACTCATTCAGGCCCTGACATTTGAGAGCCCTGGCTGTTTATCGAGCCTACAGTTCGCTTTTGGGTTGGCCGCTCCTCCGTCATTCCTTCATTGCTTCGCCAACTTCATGGCTGGTGTGCTTAACCCTTTAGGGTTTAGGGTTTAGGCAAGGTAGACGCCTGAATAATTACCACCATGATTTCTTGGGCTCCTTGATGCTTTGACTCCTGTACTAACATATAGGAACCAACAACGAACCTGCAGGAGCAACCAGGTAATATATTGCCTATACGATTAATTATAGTATAATATTCTCCAAAACCCTATTCTACGTGTTAAGGCCCCTTTACTGAACCCTTATAGAAACCCTTTATAGTAACCCTTTATAGCCACCCGTTTTAAGGGAACCCCAAAAACCCTATTGTAATGATTAAAAAACCCCGGCAGGAGGCAGATGCTCAGTCCGGGAACTTCCGAGGCCCTCTTAGCCTCAGGCCCCAGTCAACGTAGGGGCCTTTTATAGGGTTTAGGGTATAGGGTTTAGGGTATAGGGTTTAGGGTCTAGGGTTCAGGGTTTAGAATGGGGTTTTGGGGATTCCTTATTATATGATATTTTTTGTATCATATACCCCCAGACCCAATTCCAATTATTAATGCCCCAGTGAACCTCAAGGCTTCGCCAACTACTGACATCTTTGGGGCTTTAGGGTTTAGGGTAACATATACGTACCCGAAACTTTTCGGGTTTAGGGTAACCTCTACCCTAAACTGTAGGGTTTAGGGTAACCTATAGCCTAAGCTTTTGGGGTTTAGGGCTTAGGGTATCCCATACCCCAGACTTTCTGCTGTAAGCCCTTTGGATTCCTAAATCTAGGAAACCCCATTGTTGATGATATAAGTCCTGCATTACCCCAAGGACCCTAAACTATGAGAATTATGGTATATTCCTAATTATGGGTAATGAAGGATTTATATCTAAACCCTCAACCCTAAACCCTAAACCCCTATACCCTATACCCTAAACCCTAAACCCTAAACCCTAAACCCTAAACCCTAAACCCTAAACCCCTAAACCCTATACCCTAAACCCTAATCATCACCCCTAGAACCTGGATCCGGTAGAGACAAAAGCAGACACAGCCGAGGCGGCAGCATGCCACGCCCAAGGAGGCAGCCATGCGCTTCGCCGACGGTGTCCAGGGTCTCTACAAGGAGCCACGAGCAGAAACAGTTACGTAGGGTTTAGGGAAGTTTAGGGTTTAGGGTTTAGCACAGCTTTGAGTCCGTATGTGCTACCCTAGTGCAATTTAATATAGCTACCCAAGAGTAGGATCCTCCTTATGGGGACGCCTAAATATCCTAGAGAAACATGCCCCTAATCTTAGGAGCCGCCAGCGCAAAACTCAAAGCCTTTAATCCTATCACCCGGGAGCCACCCAGACCTTCCAATATCCCTAAATCAAGGAATTGGATATTATGAGACTAAAACAGGATCCCGGGATCCCTGATATGATTTAAGCTACATTCCTTAATTAGGGAATCTTGGAAGCTCTGACTATTCTGCAGAAGCGCAACCGAAGCTGTAGACGCCATCCCTGAAAGCTCCATGTGTCCTACGGATTCCTTTAAGGGTCCCTTCATGTGTGCCATAAGGTTTCTATGAGGGTTCTATATATGGTTAGGCGCCTGAAGGATCCATGTAGCTATATAGTGTACACTTAGGCCGTAGAGGGCCTCCCCGGTGCACTTTAGTAACTTTAGTACTTTAAGCTGGAGGCCAAAGTATATACTGTATAACATATGGGTACATGGAGCCTTAGGGACCGTCGTCAGTAGTATGGCACTGAGATAATACCCTTAAGCCCGGGGCCCCAACAAGATATCGACCACGAGGAGCTTACCAAACAGGAGCCAGTGGAGCTCTACATGGGAGTGCCTCGGCTCTAGCATATTTAGATGCCGGACGTCGCTCCGGTTCTTGGGGAACTCTGACACCGACGACCCGGGAGGGAGGTTCTGATGTGAGTCACGGTCAAAACCCCGTTAGT